CGGAGGTGTGGTACAACAAGGTCGAGGACGGGGCGGCATGGTTCATGAGGAAATGGCACAGGCAGGAGGCGGAAGCGTCCGCGAAGCGCCAGCGCGCGAGGGAAGCAGAAGCAGAGAGTACGGCCATCTCAGGACCGAAGAGAAAGAGAGCCGGGGAAGCGGCGGTGGGGGGGAAGAAACGGCGACCGGGCACTGCTGTAGAAGCGGGTAGGGCGGCCGAGGCAGCACTTGTGGCGAAATATGTACCCGGCTGATGCTGTTGCGCCCCGTTTCCCTCCCTGCTGTATGCTATACTCCTCTATGTATGTCCTTTGTATTGCCTTCGGCCTCTGTGCTGTGTTTCTTTTTTCCATGACCTCCCTGCCTACTCTGCTGTGTTGGGTACCGTGATCTCGCTTTGCTGTTGCCTTTGTTTTTGTACGTCTGGCTGTCTGCCTGCCGCCTCTTTGTCCTGTTTGCTCCGTTACTCCCATGCCCTGGTGCGTAGTGCCTGGTGCTAGTACGTTACCCTTTGATTTTTTCTTTGGGCGGGTGTGGGAAGCGTCCTCCATTATTTTTGTTTTTGTTTTATTTTGATCGGTTTCCTAGGGCTCTTTTCTCGAACGGTCGGTGCGATACCTGTTCTTTTCTTTCTATCATGTTGCTTTCTTGCTCCGAGTGGTTTGTACCCTATTTTTGTTTTGTTTCCCCGCGGCGTCGTATGTGCCGGGTTTTGAGGCCACGGGCTCCCCATTTTTTGTGGACTATAGAGCTAATGTGAGAAACAACAACATCAACACGAGTCATATCCTTACTCTAGCAGCAGGACACTGCTGTGTCATCCAACTCAATCACCCTCCCTATCGGTAGAGAGAAGAAGAGTGCTCGCGTTGTTTTTCATCGGCTCATCCCGCTGAAGCCTGGCGTCTTCTTACTACATTAATTGATTGGGTGGCTTGGTTGGCTTGTGAGCGTAACCGCTGCTGCTACAGCAGTAGTTCAACCAAGAAACACATCGCAATTGAGACACAAAGCAGAAAACACATGCACGCACACGCGGCACATCGCATTTGAGACACAACAGACAATACACGCACGCACACATGCATATGCATGTCAACCATGCTGGATCGGTCTCGCTTTCATAGCGTGACCTGTGTGTCTCATATAGACTGCAGCAAGCAGTAGTCCACGGGGTATTGCACGCTTGTGTGCATGGAAACGGAACAATCGTGCTGGGGTATTGCCGGGCCATTTTTGATTTAGAGCGGAAGAATTGACTTGTTTGGGCAAAAATCAAAATTTGCTTTACTGATGCCATTCAATTTAACATAAAATATGAAGTCTTTCCACCGTGCGCAGTAAATGCACATTGCGGACAGTGACGCGACCACCTCAGCAAGAGTCATCGAATAAACTTTCCAAAATGTCCACATCTCTCCTTCTTCCCTTCGCTGCCTCGGGAAGGTTTTGCGTAGGCATGACCCATAGCGAGGGGGGGGGGGG